TTATGAACATTGCGAACTTAACTCCATATGAATATTTCTAACATCCCATTAAAGAGTTTTATGGTATAAATAGACATTATTTAATTCTTTAAGCATTGATCTTTTAGGATCTGGCCTTTTCCGGCTCTTTTTAATGACCGATTTAACCTTTTGGAATTTGCATCTCTTGGAAGGTCTATCTTCAACATGGGTGCCTACCGTTATATGCAGGAATTGTACAGGAAGAAGTAAAGTGAAGTTATGCATTATTTGCTTCGCATCCGTGTGTGGCAATACCATCAATGGACCGAGTTGCACCGCTCGCCCAGACCCACCTATCCCGACAAGGATCGTCTTATGGGTTACAAGGTTTCGTTATCTACAGCATCCGTGTACGTCGTGGTGGTCACAAACGTCCCGTACCCAAGGGTTGCACTTATGGCAACCCCAAGAGTCATGGTGTCAACGAATTGAAACAATACAAACAATACAAACGCGTTGATCGCAGATTAGGAGGTTTGAACTCCTACTGGGTTGCCCATCACAATGCCATCCATCGTGATCCTAAGATCAACTGGATCTACAAGCACGTTCACAAATATCTTGAACTTAGTAGTTTGACCTCCGCAAGGGTTACAGATACTCTCGGTGGTGGTGGTTCTCGTCGTGCTGCCTGGAAGCACAAGAACCATTTGAACATGCACAGAAAACGTTAAGGTGTTTAGACTTTGACGTTGACAATGATAAGAGTTATGAATAAAAAAATCAGTTATTTTTATTTCTGAAACTCTTGGCAACACTGTTAGTAAGTATTAAAACTAGTCAGAGACAAGAACCATCAAATTTAGACAAAATTTATGAAAGTTATGCAACAAAAAGGAAGTTCTTAGTAAAATTGGTTCAAATTTTTTTTAAGAAATTTTGAGGAAATATTAAGAAAACCTCAATTCTGCAAAATTTTTCGGATTCAGTTAAAGTTTTAGTCTGAAATGCAAAATTTCAGCAGTTCTCGTCCTCAAAATTACGAAATAATAGCACAGATTGTTCAAAATAAAAAATAGGGAATTTTGATGAAATATTAGTCCCGGGTCCATTCTAGGTCCATTTTTGGATCCAGCGTTTACCTGAATTGTGAATTTCTAGCAAGATTTGGCTAGTTGTTTCCGAGTTTGAAGCAAGCCCAAAAATAAATTAACAATTTTGATCTAGTATTGGCCCTAGGTCCAACATTCATTAAAATTTCCGTTTTTTTCATTTTCTTCATAATCGGAGACTATTACCGTATCTGGCTGGAAACTCGCCTTCTTGATGAATTCCCACACTACTTCTGAAAATGGACCTTCATGGAACATCCTTTCTAATAATTCTCAGTAGAACGCATCTCAGCGTCCTCTTATCAGTTATTACTGGTCATTTCAAGGTAACCATGCAAGACGCATGGGTCTTCCATATAACGACTTCTGTAGAAGCTGCCAGAACGGGAAGGAAGCAATTACTTATCTTCTGTGTAACTGCCTCTGCCCTAGAAACGCTATCAAATGTTGGAGTCGTCACATTTCAACTAGACGAATTCTAGAACTAGAACGAATTCTTGCATTCCAAAATTTGTCTATATGGGTGTGAGCTTAGTATACATGACTCTTGGAATTCTAACAATTATGGAGATAGTCTTCCCCATAAGCCTAAGGTAGAGGACCTTTCTCCTGGGCCTCATAGGACCCAAGTAAAGCTTACTCTTGGCATTGTGCAGTCTATGAACCCATATCCTAACCTAAGAATCAAAATTAGTCAAGACAAGAACCATCATATTTAGAAGAAATTTAAACGAATTATGCGACAAAATAGATTTTTTTTCTGAAGCTCCTGGCAACACTACATAGTGAGGTAGTTACCTGCATTGTAAAACTACTTTAATTTTTTTTAATTAAAAAAAAAAGCTAAAAAGTTATAACATATGTAAGCTTTAGGGATTACCTCTATACATACTATGAATATACTAAGTAAAAAAAAGTTAACTGCTGCTGTTCTAATTTTAAATTTAGCAAGAGTAAGTAGAGAAATACCTAATTTAATTAAAAAATTTTAATACGCATGTTTTGTAATATTTAACTCTAAGGAAAAACTAAGTACCATTTTTAATGGCTGCCTTTAATGTGTTTGTTTTTCATCGCATTTTCTACCTTAAGCATTTTCAATTCTATACTTTTAGCTTAAATTGTTTGTTTGCTTTAAACAGGAAATGAAAATAATGTTTAAATTGTTTTTCTTTTATGTGACTTAAAGAGAAAATTTTAAATGAAATTTAACATTTTTTGCAAATATCATTATTGTCTGACACTAATACCAACAACTTCAGGACATTCAATTTCCATGAATAACTATAAAAAAACATGTTTCTTAAATATTTTGTGAAACGTGGGTAAATTGTAAATTTAAGGAAGTTGAGAGAGAGAGAGAGAGACGTGACATAAATTTATGTTTGTACTTTAAAAAAAAGTTGACTTATGTCAAACGTGTTGATGTAGATTAGTTTAGAGCTAGCTAGTCAATATGCTTTTTGCTATGAATTATATGTTAGAGAAAATTTTGTTTTACATTGATAATCTTATTTAAGCTTAAATTGTGTTTTTTTTTTATCTGTGAATGCACTGCAGGCATTCACTGTATGCTGTATGTATTTGAAATAACTTTGATGATATATTAGTTTTGTTTAGGCGTACATATTTTTAATTTAAAGATTATCAGAATTTTAATTAAATTAATAGCAGCATATTTAGATTTTTTCTAAAAAGCCCAATTTATAAAGATTTTAGTGTTATAAATACAGTAGTTTTCAATTTAGAATCATTTTATAAGTGTTGTCAAAGTTCTGAAACACATTATAAATCTGTATTAAAGTCTGATAGTTAATTAGTTCATCTTAACGTCTGAACCGGTTTTAATGAAATATAAATAGATCTTAAATGGGAAGCGTGCATAGGATGTATGAATCAGAAAAGTATGGATCTGAAAAATATCTATATATATAGCTCCCACAAAAGAATGTAAACACAAAGATTACGGTCGTGCTAAATTTGTTTAGGGAAGATCTTATCCAACTTTACACAGACATTTCAAAATTAAAAGAAAAATCCGACCGATGTAATGGCCATTAAAAAAAGCTGCTGAAAAGATTCAGTATCATAGGATATCATATCCACTTATTTAGTTTCTGATAGATTAGCGTTCTAGTCTGGTAGACCAAAAGTCGTGGGTTCGATTCCCATTTGGGGCAATGGTCCGATCCGATCCGATAGAGACCTAAGTATATTTCTTAACTGATAATAAAGGAACCAATGGAGCACTATTGAGCGTATTGTTCAAATATGTTCAAACATACATTTGTCATTACATTGGACATATACGGCAACAAACGGAATAAAATACACAAAAAAGCAACAAAATAGAAGAGCAGAAAAACCAACATACAACTATACATACTCTTTTTCAATAAGCAATGTTGTTGTTGGTTTTTTTTTTTTTTTTTTTGAAAGCATGCACGAACATTCTCTTTTTTGATGACATTTTCAGAGGTTGTCTCGGATTATTGCTCATATCTCCGTTATTTATGAACGAATTTTGCTGATTTTAAATATGAAACTTCTCGAAAGTATGTCTGACAGAATTATTGAAGATCTCGATCCCGAAGATATCTGTAGTCTTCAGAAAATTGATTTCAACAGACACATAGACGGACAGACAGACAGACAGACACATAGATGGAGAGACACACAGACAGACATGGCTTTTTTTGAAAGCATGCACGAACATTTTCTTTTTTTGATGAAATTTTCAGAGATTGTCTCAGATTATTGCTCATATCACCGTTATTTATGATCAAATTTTGCTGATTTTAAATAGGAAACTTCTCTAAAGTATGTCTGACAGAATTGTTGAAGATTTCGATCTCGAAGATATATGAAGTCTTCAGAAAATTGATTTCAACAGACTCATAAACGGACAGGCAGACAGAGAGACAGACAGACCGACAGCAGACAGACTGACGGACAGACAGACAGACATGACGTAATCGTCTCTGCTATCTATAAGAATAAAGAATATATGTACTTTATAGGAATATTGTGGAAATTACAAACGGAATGACAAACTTATATATACCCTTCTAAAGTGGTGTAGGGTATAAATATTTTAATTCAAAGAGCAAACTGTCTGTGTCTGGACTGGCCTATCAAATAGTACTAACATTAGTGCATATTTTATCCAAATCGACCTTATTTAATGGTGATCAATGTCCTCAGACTAAACTGTTTTGGTTCAGACGTATGATTACTACCGATTAAAAAGAAAACCACTGTAGTGACAACGAGCAAAGCTATATATGGTAATGATTGAATACTTCTCGGAAGTACACTGTGTATGATGGATAATGCTGATTCAAATAGAAATCTTGATTATTTTTCATCACTTAAATACTAATTAGGAACGATGGCTTCAAAATAATGAAAATTATTCGAGTCACAATATCAGAAAAACATTTTATTGCTAAAACATAATTCATACAAACTCCTTTACCTAAATTCCAACAAAATTTTCTATACCACTACTCGTAAACAACAAAAAAGAGATTTTTTAAATGGATGTGTATAGTCATTCTTTTCAACTTGTTGAAATACATATAATAATGACAACAACGAAAAAAAAAAACAAGAAAAGAAATGAAAATCATCGGCATATTGCCAAAGGTTGGGCTGATGGTCATGAAAACTATATAAAAGACTAGACAATTTATGCAGTAAAATTTATATGTTTATAACTACAACTTATATATAAATCTAAGGGAAACTAAATAAACAGGACTTTATGTAGTATATTAAAATAAAGAGATACAATCATGAACATAGACACAGAAAAGTTATGAATGACTTTATGAGATTGTAAAGCAAATGAATTCAATTGAAATTAATATAACTAAACATATAATAAAAAAAAAAACATAAACAAAATAAAGAAAATGAACTTACCTCATAACGAGTGTCAATTTCCGGTAGCTTTTCTAGAAACTCTTCAACCATAGTTTCTGAAGATGTTAAAGTTGAATGATGTGTATGTGATGTGTGCTAGTGTGCTGATGTTGATGTTGGATGTTAATGATTAAGATGATGATTAAGTTATTGTTCTTGCTGGCTTTTTTTTGCCGTTCTTATTTCGATATCAAAGGAAACTGTTTAAGTATCCTTATGTATGCATTCGAGTATAATCGCACTTGCACTTTTCCCCACGCATGCAGTCGTGCATGCACAACCATAAACACTTGTTTAGAAAATATTTATATAAATTTTGCTTTGTACTTTTTGTTTTTCTATTTAAATGAAGTACAACAACAGCCGTAGCAGCGACAACATTAATAATAACAACAAATGCAACAAATTACATAACAACAACTAGAAATACAACCTGCATACATTCAAAGTTGTAAGAACAATCACAAAAGATTTAGGCCAGAAATTCAAAAACTAAGGCAGCCAGACTCTTAATAAAGTTGAGGAAATGTAAAGCACAAATAAACTCACACTGCACTATGCCTCGATAGACATGCAACCAGTCAGCCAGCTAGGCCTCGAGTCATCCAGTCAGTTAGTGAACAAAGTGAGTGAGTCAATCAGTCTGTCACTACTCGCTGGTTTCTATAATATACAGGAAAATATCCTTTTTATGTGTACAAAAACCTGTTGAAATTTTTTCTTTCCTTTCACTTTTTTTTCTGTAATCAAAAGTTAAATATGATTTAAATGAATTTCCGTTTTTTTTTCCTCGATTTTAATGATAATGATGCTGCTGTGGCTGAAGACTCATGCACACAAAAATATGGGTTGATTATGTTGATGCTGGTGCTGATGATGATTGAAAGTAGAAAGTAATATTTAGGTTAACACCTTTGTGTATACGAAAATGTTTAAAGATGTTGATGGCGATGATTAAAATGTTGATAGTGACGCTGATGATGATAATTTTTATTTAAACTGACATTTTTTCACACTTAAAAGATCTCACTGTATATACACTACACTGCACTTTACTCATTCATTTGAACTGCTTCACAATGTCTAAAATAAAATATTTTATTTACGTTTCTTTGCGAGGTTTAAACCACATAAAATGTGTTGCTTTTTATAATTTTTTTTTCTATTTTCTTTCTTGAAAACCTTTTTGTTTATTTCTGTTTTTTTTTTTCACAGTTAGAAATGTGTATTTGATAAAATGCTTTGAAAGAGCCGCAACAGGACTACGTCATCACAGCTTCAAGTCAATGCACAGCACTAACAAAAACCTTTCAAAACTTGATATTTATATTTTTGTGATATGAAACCAGAGGAAGAAACAACAAAACCAACAAAAATATGATGTGCTTGAAATAACCCCCACACTAAACACCAACAACTACAACAACAACAGCAACAACCAGAACAAGAATATTCACAAATTCTTACTCAAAAACGAATGAAAGGAAGAAATAAACAGAACTGAACAGAACAGAACAGCACTGTACGATACATTACAGTAGAGAATAGAAAAAAAACCGAACGGAAAATAAACCATTGCTAATGTTTTTTCCTTCATCTTTTTTACTGTATTATTAATGCTCAGGATAATACAGGACTTACAATACACAAACCCAAACTTTCCCATCAACACATACATACAAACATTTGCCTTTATAGTACATACGCTCAATGCAGAACACAGAAATAAAGAGACGAAGAGTTGTTGAGAATTTTATTCTCACTTAACAGACTGTTGAGGAATGTGTATTTTTGCGTATGAGCAGGTGTGTGTGAAATAAAATTGAGCATTCATTATAATAAACCAATGAGTTGTAGTTTTCATTGCCTTGTTTTTGTTGTTTGCAGTTCCACACTCATCGTTATCGTTCTTATCTCATATATGGAGCATACTCATTGAGCTGCTTTTTTGTTTTCTTTCGTTGCTGTTGTTGTAGTTTTATTCAAGCAAAATAGAGTACATGTGTTATACTTCGTTACCAATATAATGTTAGAGTAGCCATTAAATTTTAGGAAATTTTAAGGCAATTAAGGGAAAATTGACTTTGAGGCAACTAGTAAATATTTTCTCCATTTTTTCCGGACATCGAAGTCATAATGGGACAATACAATAAAAACTAATTGCTGCCGTATGAATCTGCCATTGACAGCATTGCGTTCAACAACATTTGAATGAAAAGAATTGTTTAATAAAAAACAGTAAGACACTGATCCTAATTTTCATCGATGAAAGGACAACAATCCAAAGTAGGAACCCAAAGTGTCTAATCACGAAAAAGTCATTGTTTGGTACAGATTTTTACCTTGGGCCATCATTGGTCAATTTTTCTTTGAAAACAACGTTAACCTGAAGTGGATGATATGGATAGCAATGACATGTAGTTGAAAGTGATATAAACTGGCTGCAGAGATCATATGATTTGACCCCGTTAGAGTTTTTGTTATTGAAACATAACCTATGAAAATAATCCTAAAATACAGCGAATGATAGATTGCTTTAGATGGTTATTTATAATTCACAACCTGTCAACTAGAATTCAATTCGGGACACGTTACCTTGATGAAGCTTTCCCCATCTTAGTGGTATTGCAATCCTGCGGTAAAATAGGTGCTAACAGTAAATATAGTTTGCCGGGACAATTAACTGGTGAAGTCATTAGAACTCTCTACCTTTCCTTAGAATCACATGACCTGGGGTCGAATCATACAACCAATATTATCTGGTACCACTGGAACACGTAGACTACACTGCAGAGTTCTGGTGCTATTGCAATCCTGGAGTAAAATAGGTGCCACCAGTAACTATAGTCTGAAAGGACTATTAACCGGTGGAATAATTCGATCTGGAGTCGAATCATACAACCAATCTGGTACCACTGTCTTGTCCGGGTTATTGGAGAGGTCCGATCGGAATGCACGTGGTAACAGTGTTTTGATCCAAAACGCTGGAAAAGAATATTGATGCATGGTGAAATCTATTTCAGGATAAGTTCGGTGTTGTTGCTGAAAACAGACAACAGATGCCGCTTACAGATGCCGACTCAACAGAGATTATTACATCAATGTACAACTACAACATCTCAGGTAGTTCACATAAAGCACTCGACTTCTGTCTAGTCCATGTTGCCAAAACCCCATCCCACCCCATGTATTTTATTGCGGTGTGATATCTGAAAATATCCTTGAATCCACACACAAATAATTCACCTATGTTTTATATAATGCATTTGTCCAGGAATCTAATCCTCTATTCGTCCCAGACAGCTAGGAAGGGTATTCACAAAGAAGGTATAAAAACCCGTATTATCTTTATCCCTGTTGAAGGGAAACCCATGATGATTTGTATGTTTGTCTAGTACCCAATGTACAGTTATTACTGTCAGCAAACTCTATCCTAATTATTTCGGGTTATAAGTTTGCCGTTTCTCATTGAAAATGGACCATATTAACTCGGCTTCCCTATATGTGACTAGATTATTTCATAAATTTCCAGATACTATAAGATACTCAAACTGGGATAACATCAGAGTGATCAGTTGTAACAGATCATTCATTCTCTCACCAATATTGAGATTACAAAAATATCTTTTATTGAAGATAATTTGATGTAAAATTTTCCAGACAAAAATAGGGGAATTAGGACTCATTTGGGACTTTATATAGATCTGCGATTAAAACTAAAGTGAAACACATTTTCATCAGATAAAGATATTCTTTTGAAGCCAAAGTCGGGCCATTAAAAGTCTTTCAGTTGAAGTCAAAATGGTGCTTCATATAATGATCTCTCGTATGGAAAATACTTGTGCAGCTTCCATAGCTTCACGAAGAATCTATACCCACTATTCATAAAAACTTAAGAGCATATAAAAAAAGGCTAAAGTTGGATCAGTTTTGATCCTGATTAAGCCTTTTTGTTAAATCTAATGAATGAATCAAAAAAATTACAGGCAGCAGCATATTGGACCACACAATAAGATTCCTAAGATACATTTTTCCCTATCTACAATTATAAACTCACCATGGTAACTTGATTTTGCTCTTTTCCACAAAAAAAAAAAAGCAACAAAACTGCTTTTAACATTTCGCACATTTGAGTTAACCTCTAGTATCATACTCTTACTTAAAAGTAAATAATTAAGAGTTTGTTAAGAGCTCAGGTGAAAGTTTTTAGAATTTGCTCAATTAACTCACTACTGCCAACACTACTACTCTAACAGCTCTACTCTTTCTAATTTAATTTCCATTTGTGCTCTTTTACTCTCTCAAACTAACACTCTCAAACTGGTTAATAGTTTAGTTGCTACCATTTAACGCCATTATCAAATTTCAAACTCTTGCTATTTTGGTACTTCAATGCGTATGAGTTACACAGCATATTTTTAATTTTTAGCTTCTACATTTCAATTTGTATATGTACCTTTTGAAGGAGATAAAACAAGAACTAACACTTATAAAGAAACTTTTCTATATATTTATCTAGTTTAGCTCTTGGTGTTTTTTTATTAATAACTCTATAAAACTGTTGTAAGACTTCACTTTACTAATGGAATACATTAAGTCAAAAGGTTAATAATTTGTTCGCTCTGGTTTTAATGCAGATTTTATTAGTTTCAGTTTTATGTATTTTTAATTGCTATGTTTTGTTTTCATGTGGAATAATTAAAGAGTTTGCGGATGCTGTTGGTTTATGTTTTAAGCTTAACGGTTTTTTATTTTTATTTCGCCTGCAGTTAGAAGTTGAGCTATAAAGCTTTAGAAACTGTAGAACTTTTTAAAAGTTCAAGGAACTTCAATCAGATCATATTAGGGAATTTTAGTATAAAAGCCTGGATATTGATGGTTAACTTTTTAAGAAGGTGTTTGCTTGAAACATTCATTAAAATGCTGAAGTGTTATTTGCAAATATGTAACAGTTGCCTCCTTTTTAAAATTACAAATTTTTTTTTTAAGTAATTGCCACTGGAAAAAGTCTTTTAAAGTGGGGTATAAATTATGGGTTAGTAAGAACATTTTAAACTATTTATGCGTATTTTTATTTTAACTTTTAACAGACAAAAAGCCTTTTTATTATTTCTTTTAAAATCAATTAAAAATTTTGATGTGCATATTTCTAGTACACTTCTTTTCTTGAAATCGATTTTTAGTGGGAAATATGAGTGATAACAGATTTTCACTATTTTCTCAATTAGAGCGTTATTTAAGCAACTACAGCCGCTTTTTGATTTTTCATATAAAAATCGATTTTTGGTGGGAAATATGAGTGATCACAGATTTTCATTATTTTCTCGATTGAAGCGTTATTTAAGAAACTACCGATTTTAGCCGATTTTAGATTTTTCATATAAAAATCGATTTTTGGTGGGAAATATGAGTGATCACGGATTTTCACTATTTTCTCAATTGGAGCGTTATTTAAGAAACTACAGCCGATTATAGATTTTTCATATAAAAATCGTTTTTTGGTGGGAAATAGGTGATCACAGATTGTCGAAACTACAGCCGATTTTAGATTTCACATATAAAAAACTTTTTTTTTGGTGGGAAATATGAGCAATCACGGATTTTCACTATTTTCTCAATTGGAGCGTTATTTAAGATTTTAGATTTTTCATATAAAAATCGTTTTTTGGTGGGAAATATGAATGATTACAGATTTTCACTATTATGTCGATTGGAGCGTTATTTAAGCAACTACAGCCGATTTTAGATTTTACATATAAAAATCGTTTTTTCGTGGGAAATATGAGTGATCACGGATTTTCACTATTTTCTCAATTGGAGTGTTATTTAAGAAACTACAGCCGATTTTAGATTTTACATATAAAAATCGATTTTTGGTGGGAAATATGAGTGATCACGGAATTTTAGATTTTACATATAAAAATCGTTTTTTGGTGGGAAATATGAGTGATCACGGATTTTCACTATTTTGTCGATTGGAGCGTTATTTAAGAAACTACAGCCGATTTTAGATTTTACATATAAAAATCGTTTTTTGGTGGGAAATATGAGTGATCACGGATTTTCACTATTTTGTCGATTGGAGCGTTATTTAAGAAACTACCGATTTTAGCCGATTTTAGATTTTTCATATAAAAATCGTTTTTTCCTGGGAAAATGAGTGATCACGGATTTTCACTATTTTGTCGATTTGAGCGTTATTTAAGAAACTACAGCCGATTTTAGATTTTACATATAAAAATCGATTTTTGGTGCGAAATATGAGTGATCACGGAATTTCACTATTTTGTCGATTGGAGCGTTATTTAAGAAACTACCGATTTTAGCCGATTTTAGATTTTTCATA